GGAGACCCATCTCACTGACAGAAATAAGCATAGGCTTAGGATGAAAGGCTGGAAGAAGATTTACCAAGCCAATGGCCCCTGAAAACAGGCAGGAGTAGCAATACTTATCTGTGACAAAGTAGATTTCAAACCTACATTGATCAAATGAGATAAAGAAGGACATTCCATGCTAATAAAAGGTGAAATAGGCCAAAAGGAAATAATAATTATCAACCTATATGTATGCACCCAATGTCAATGCACCCAATTTCATCAAACATACCCTGAAAGACCTAAAAGCATATATTAACTCCAACACAGTGGTTGTGGGAGACTTTAACACCCCATTATCATCAATAGATAGGTCATCCAAACAAAAAATCAATAAAGAAATCCAAGATCTAAAAATACAATAGATCAAATGGACCTACTTGATGTCTACAGAACATTTCATCCAACTTCTACACAATATACATTCTTCTCAGCAGCCCATGGAACCTTCTCCAAAATAGATCATATCCTAGGGCACAAAGCAAGCCTCAGCAAATATAAGAAAATAGAAATTATACCGTGCATACTATCTGATCACAATGCAATAAAACTAGAACTCAACAACAAAAGTAAAGACAAAAAACATGCAAACAGCTGGAAACTGAATAACTCATTACTTAATGAACAATGGATCATTGATGAAATAAAAGAGGAAATTAAAAAGTTCCTGGAAGTCAATGAAAATGAAAACACAACCTACCGGAACCTATGGGACACAGCAAAAGCAGTCCTGAGAGGAAAGTTTATAGCCATGAGTGCATATATTAAAAAGACTGAAAGATCCCAAATCAATGACCTAATGATACATCTCAAACTCCTAGAAAAACAAGAACAAGCAAATCCCAAAACAAATAGAAGGAGAGAAATAATAAAAATAAGAGCTGAAATCAATGAAATAGAAACCAAAAAACCATACAAAGAATTAATGAAACAAAAAGTTGGTTCTTTGAAAAAATAAACAAGATCGATAGACCCCTGGCAAACCTGACTAAAATGAGGAGAGAAAAAACCCAAATTAGTAGAATCAGGAATGCAAAGGGGAGATAACAACAAACACCATGGAAGTCCAGGAAATCATCAGAGACTACTTTGAGAACCTATATTCAAATAAATTTGAAAATCTTAAAGAAATGGACAGATTTCTAGATACATATGATCATCCAAAACTGAACCAAGAGGAAATTAATCACCTGAATAGATCTATAACACAAAATGAAATTGAAGCAGCAATCAAGAGTCTCCCCAAAAAGAAAAGTCCAGGACCTGATGGATTCTCTGCTGAATTCTATCAGACCTTTAAAGAAGAACTGATACCAACCCTCCTTAAACTGTTCCATGAAATAGAAAGGGAAGGAAAACTGCCTAACACATTTTATGAAGCCAGTATTACACTTATCCCAAAACCAGGCAAAGACACCTCCAAAAAGGAGAACTATAGGCCAATCTCCTTAATGAACATTGATGCAAAAATCCTCAATAAAATAATGGCAAACCGAATTCAACAACACATCAAAAAGATTATTCACCAACCAAGTAGGCTTCATCCCAGGAATGCAGGGGTGGTTCAACATACAAAATCAATAAATGTAATAAACCACATTAACAGAAGCAAAGACAAAAACCACTTGATCATCTCAATAGATGCAGAAAAAGCCTTTGATAAGATCCAACACCATTTCATGATAAAAGCTCTAAGAAAACTAGGAATAGAAGGAAAGTACCTCAACATTATAAAAGCTATATATGACAAACCTACAGCCAGCATTATACTTAACGGAGAAAAACTGAAACCATTCCCTCTAAAATCAGGAACCAGACAAGGATGCCCACTATCTCCACTCCTATTCAACATAGTACTGGAATTCCTAGCCAGAGAAATTAGGCAAGAACAAGGAATAAAAGGAATACAAATAGGTAAAGAAACTGTCAAATATCCCTATTTGCAGACGACATGATCCTATACCTTAAAGACCCAAAACACTCTACTCAGAAGCTTCTAGACATCATCAATAGCTATAGCAAGGTAGCAGGATATAAAATCAACATAGAAAAATCATTAGCATTTCTATACACTAACAATGAGCAAACTGAAAAAGAATGTATGAAAACAATTCCATTTACAATAGCCTCAAAAAAATCAAATACCTAGGTGTAAACCTAACAAAAGATGTGAAAGACCTCTACAAGGAAAACTATACTTCTGAAGAAAGAGATTGAGGAAGACTATAGAAAGTGGAGAGATCTCCCATGCTCATGGATTGGTAGAATCAACATAGTAAAAATGTCGATACTCCCAAAAGTAATCTACATGTTTAATGCAATTCCCATCAAAATTCCAATGACATTCATTAAAGAGATTGAAAAATCTACCGTGAAATTTATATGGAAACACAAGAGGCCACGAATAGCCAAGGCAATACTCAGTCAAAAGAACAATGCAGGAGGTATCACAATACCTGACTTCAAACTATATTACAAAGCAATAACAATAAAAACAGCATGGTACTGGCACAAAAACAGACATGAAGACCAGTGGAACAGAATAGAGGACCCAGATATGAAGCCACACAACTATAACCAACTTGTCTTTGACAAAGGAGCTAAAAATATACGATGGAGAAATAGCAGCCTCTTCAACAAAAACTGCTGGGAAAACTGGTTAGCAGTCTGCAAAAAACTGAAACTAGATCCATGTATATCACCCTATACCAAGATTAACTCAAAATGGATCAAGGATCTTAATATCAGACCCCAAACTCTAAAGTTGATACAGGAAAGAGTAGGAAATACTCTGGAGTTAGTAGGTATAGGTAAGAACTTTCTCAATGGAACCCCAGCAGCACAGCAACTAAGAGATAGCATAGATAAATGGGACCTCATAAAACTAAAAAGCTTCTGTTCATCAAAAGAAATGGTCTCTAAACTGAAGAGAACACCCACAGAGTGGAGAAAATATTTGCCACTACACATCAGACAAAGGACTGATAACCAGAATATATAGGGAACTTAAAAAACTAAATTCTCCCAAAACTAATGAACCAATAAAGAAATGGGCAAGTGAACTAAACAGAACTTTCTCAAAAGAAGAAATTCAAATGGCCAAAAACACATGAAAAAATGCTCACCCATCTAGCAATAAAGGAAATGCAAATTAAAACCACACTAAGATTCCACCTCACCCCTGTTAGAATAGCCATCATCAGCAACACCACCAACAACAGGTGTTGGCGAGGATGTGGGAAAAAGGAACCCTCTTACACTGCTTGGTGGGAATGTAAGACTAGTACAACCACTCTGGAAAAAAATTTGGAGGCTACTTAAAAAGCTAAACTTGATCTACCATTTGATCCAGCAATACCACTCTTGGGGATATACCCAAAAGACTGTTACTCCAGAGGCACCTGCACACTCCATGTTTATTGCGGCACTATTCACAATAGCCAAGTTATGGAAACAGCCAAGATGCCCCACCACTGACGAATGGATTAAGAAAATGTGGTATCTATACACAATGGAATTTTATGCAGCCATGAAGAAGAACGAAATGTTATCATTCGCTGGTAAATGGATGGAATTGGAGAACATCATTCTGAGTGAGGTTAGCCTGGCCCAAAAGACCAAAAATCGTATGTTCTCCCTCATATTGGACATTAGATCAAGGGCAACACAACAAGAGATTGGACTTTGAGCACATGATAAAGGCGATAGCACACAAGGGAGGGGTGAGGATAGGTAAAGACACCTAAAAAACTAGCTAGCATTTGTTGCCCTTAACGGAGAGGAAACTAAAGCAAAGATCCTTAAAAGCAACTGAGGCCAATAGGAGAAGGGGACCAGGAACTAGAGAAAAGGTGAGTCAGAAAAGAATTAACTAGAAGGAACACCCACCGCACAGGAAATTAATGTGAGTCAATGCCTTGTATAGCTATCCTTATCTCAACCAGCAAAAACCCTTGTTCCTTCCTATTATTGCTTATACTCTCTCTACAACAAAATTAGAGATAAGGGCAAAATAGTTTCTGCTGGGTATTGAGGGGGTGTCGGGGAGAGGGAGGGGGTGGAGTGGGTGGTAAAGGGAGGGGTGGGGCGGCCGGGGGAGAAATGACCCAAGCCTTGTATGCACATATGAATAATAAAACAATAAAAAAAAAAATAAAGATCCAGTCAAAATAGAAAAAAAAGGAATTGAAAAGATAAGTCACAGATTGAGGGAGAACGTGTAAAAGCATTTATCTGATAAGGCACTTGTTCATAACATATAAATAACCATCATACAACATTAATAAGATGAACAAACCAGTTTTTTTTTAAAAAGATAAAAGATTTGAACAAACACTTCATCAAAGAGAGGCAAAACAGCAAGGGAAAATGCTCAGTATCATTAGTAATTAGAAAAATGAAATTGAAAACCATAAAGAAGCACCAGAATCTTATTATAATAGTAGCACTGTAATGATCAAACTTAAAACAGAGAATCCAAAGTCTCGGCAAGCATCAAAACAACTGTGATTCTCATACATTGCTGGTAGGACGTTTAGTAGCTTTATTCATAAGGATAAAAATCAGAAACAAACTTAATGTCCATCAAGGGGTGAACAGATAATTTTGCTACTTTCATACAGCGGAATATTGCTTAGCAATAAAGAAGAACGAATGACTCATTAGCATTGTGCTAAGGAGTGCAGTACAAAATGCTAGGTAGTGTCTAATTGCATTACTTGTGTTCTGGGACAGGCAGAGCTACAGAGTCAGAAATCCCATCTGTGGTTGGACAGAGAGTCAGGCTTAATGCAAAGGGGCACTGCACGACACAAACAGTGAGAAGCATAAAATGGGACGTAGAAATGAGTCTTACCTGGTGGGGAGGGGCTTGCTGTTAGAGAACCTGTTAGTGTGGCGAGAGAGGCGGTCAGCCTCTCAGAAGGAGGTCACTGCTCCAGAGCCACTCAGAATGCAGAAAGACCCCTCACCGGAGCACAGGACCCCCGCGTCCTCCTCGGGCCGCAGTTCCGTGAGAACCAGCTGTCATGGGCACACAGAGCCAGGCGGCTCTCTGCGCCTGTGCAGCGCACATTGTCCAGCTGGACCTTTCCAAAGGCCAAGCCAAAGTGGGAGCCAAGAGGGGTAGATGTGGCCAAGCCACACTCGAGCTGCCTGCACACGACCTGTGCCTCTGGCCCCAGCCTTCACCACACACCGACCCCCAGGTGCCCCGGTAGAAAACCTCCACCCTGCCAGAGCATCTGTCCCAGCCGTTCACCAGCCTCAGCCCCCGCCAGCCCTCTGCGGAGACAGAAATAAGGCGAGCCTTGGAAACCTATAGAACTTTCCTATAGAACTTTCCCTACTTGCCTGGCTCACAAATTGAAGTGAGTCCTTTAATTACCTCAGAGGTATAAAAGCATTATGGAAAAAATACTTCATAATTATGCCACAATATGCTGTGCTCTTTGTCAATCACTAAACAAAGCAGATTAGGTATTTCTCAAGCACTGGAGCGTTGCCACTTAACATCAGCAGGGGAGATACGAAATGTTTTTCTGACCTTGTGGAAGTAGATTAAATTAAACAGTATATTCCAAAAATGGAATATTCTATAGCCGTTAAGAGCAGTGAAACACACCACACACAGACACACACACACACACATCAAATGGATTTATCTCAAAAATATCACATTGAAAATGATATATAGACTAATATAATTTGTGTGAAAGCAATATGAAAAAAACAGCATATATAGAAATCATGAAATTCCTATATGTAAAAGTATTTTTTAAAAAATGAAACCTAAGGACCTATACAAAATTCAAAGGAACGTGTTCTATAGGAAGGAGGGAGGAGACACTGAGATTGGGGTCTTTAGGGACTTCAAAATTTTTTATTTTTATTTTCTGTTTTTAAAAGTTTTTTTTTTATGTATTTGCTGTGCTGGGAATGGGACTCAGGGTGTTTCATATTTAACTGTTCATTTCTTGATGAGAATGGACAAGCAGTACAACAAAATGTAAGTATGGCTCAGAACCAGGGGGGCATGGTTTTGGCCTTCTTATTCTTTACATTTTCTGAACTTCACACTTCTCCCCCAGAAGAGCAGATGACCAGATACAAAAGGTGTCTGGAAGGACCGGGTAATCAGCCCAGGTCTGAAGGCCAGTGACTGTCTTCCCTTACTACAGTGCTTCTCCCTGTGTCTCAGCTGCCTCCGGCTCCTTACTGGTCATGGTGGTTCACAGCAGTAAGGTGGGTCCCTGGGGAAGGCTGCTTACCTGAGGGGCTGGGCCCAGGCACACTGGCTCTGCGCCTGGCAAATGCTGAGTCAGCCATGGGTGGACCTGGAGCAACATGCAAAGGGAGATCAGAACTGGTTTCCTTTCTTGGGACAGACACGGGACACATAAAAGGACTCAACTAGCAGCTGGCAAAGAGCTAGCAGCTTGGCCACACCTTAACCTAGACATCTGGAGTGACCACGAACTCCTAATGAACTGAGTAATTTCTGATGAGGTTGGAGTGAAGTTCAGTAGGCTGGCAGCAAGCCCCTCAGCATGATCCCGCTGCCCTAAGTGCCTTTCCTTTTCATAAACCTGCACCAACTCCAGCTTCTGCACGATGGTGCAGCAATAACATAAGTCATTCAAGAACTGGGCAAAAGCTGTAAAACTCATGGTATCTAGAAGGATGCTGATTTTCGGTGATGACCCCACAGAGGACATTACACAACCTGGTGATCTGTCTGATGCTCGTTCCATCTGGATGGTGAAGCTCGGTGGACTAATTGTGTTTACCTGATAAGATAGTTGGCAGCCTGTCATCTGTTGAGACTGAAATATGAGTGATATTTGTTAGAAGCATCTGGCTTCATTAATTTACTCTATGTGAAATACTAACATTTCTCTCTGAGGAGGGAAAGTCTTGCAAGTAGGGGCCACTGGCATTGAGCAGAGTGATGCCTGTATTTCTCCAGTGGAGGGATTTGCCTCCATGACTCTGTCTAGCAGGATTATAGTTGGTTTTTATGGTTTGGATCCAAAATGTCCCCCAAAGGCTCATTCATGTGTTGAAAACCCCAATGCATCAAAAGTTGGAGTTTTTGGAAGGTGATTGAATCACTAGGACTCTGACCTCATCAGTGCATTAAGCCATTGAAGCCCTCATAACCTGCTAGCATCAGTGGGAGGCAGTAGAAACTTTTGGAAGTGGGGCATAAGTGGAGAGCAGGAATGCTGTGTAAGGGTTTATCTTGTCCCCTGCCCCTTCCTCTCTTCTTCTTTCTCTGCTTCCTGGCCACTTTGAAGGGGAGCAGCTTTACCTTACCACATGTTCTCCACCATGATGCTCTGCCTCAAAGAAGCATCAGAACCAAGTGACTGTGAACTGAAACTTCTGAAACCATGAACCAAAATAAGTCTTTCCTCCTTTTAAGTTGTTTCTCAGGTATTTTGTCACAGCAATAGAAAACCGACTAACACATTGATCAAGACTGAAGCCATCCCAAAAGGAGTCAGATGTCCTGTCTACTCATGTAGTAAGCACATTCTTTCATTTATGCAATGAAATGCTTGCCTCATGGGGTTAAAGTATGGTGCCACAGGTGACATGGGTCACCACACATTCTCCTTACATTCTTTGTCAGTGACTTCACTCTTCATCATGAACATCAACTCATCCTTTCTATGGTCTTAAAATGCCAGAAGTGGCATATATAATGAATCATACTTAGTTTTTGTTGTTTTAACTCCTAGCTCTTTAGCCTACCTGATATGTTTGGGTGGTTAACATCTTCTGTGGTGGTAGAAGCTGAGAGAGCTGTTGGAAAAACAATATAAGAAAAGTGATTCCTAATATTTAATATTGAACAGAAAGTAAAGGACCCTCTTCATTTGTTTCACATTTCCTGGAAAAGGATTTTATTACTTTCACACAAGCATGTTCAAATTGGAGAATCTTAAAAGGAACCAGCAGTCTTAAAAACATTATGCCAGACACGAAAACAGTATCACCTGTGGTATGGTTCCATCTTAATGAAATATCCAGAGTAGACAATTGTATAGAGACAGAAAATAAGCTGGTGATTGCCCCTGGGGGAGAAATGGACAAAGTGGCATGGACAGTAGCAAGGAGCAGAAGCTCCATGCCTCTGAGCAGAAGCCTAGTCCCTGAGCAGTGTCACTCAACAGGACACACTGTGAGGACAGACAGTCACACTCATGGAGTGCTGACTTGATCAGGCTGTCTGCAAAGTGCTTTACTGACTTAACCCTCATAACTCCTTGACATAAGCGATTGTCCAATTTTTCAGAGGAAACAAATGAAGCATAAAGAGATAAAGAGACCTCACAGAGGTAAAGAGAGGGTCACAGGGTAGGAGGTAGTAGAGAGTGGGTTCAACCATCTGAGCACTGTACTGTCTGCTGGATGGAGTTTTCCTCTTAGACTTAGCCCTACTCTTATTTCGTCATTTAGAAGAGCTAAGAATGTTAATGTGTTTACGCTCTCTTTTGTTAATGTTTGGAAATGAGCGTAAGTGTGTGCATTGGCAACAGTCAGGTAGTCTTCTTTTATTCCAGCATTTACTTTTTAACTCATTTAACTAGCCCTGAATGTCCAGCAGAGAGTAAGCATTTCTTGAGATTCTCTGTGTGTGGGGTCTGTGTGTGTGTGTGTGTGTGTGTGTGTGGTGTGTGTGTGTGTGTTGGACAGGGGCAGAGACAAAATCAAAATGACAAAGATACAGGGTCTTCTCTCAAGAAGCCTACAATATCATTGGGAAACAGTGGGTTCAGACTTATTGTCTGAGAAGCAGGAAGTGAGGGAAGTGAGGGTCAAAGAAGCACTGCAGCTACACTGCAGGCACGGGTGTGTGAGACAAGGAGAAATGCGAGAAAGTGAGAAAATCAAATGCAGGCTACATTCAGAGATGAGCCCCTTCTACTCAAGCATCCTACATCTCAAAGGGGTCCCCTAATTTCTGAATGGCAGCATGACTAGTCATTTTTAGTAGCTGATAGGATTTTAGTGTGGTTTAGTGAGTTTAGCACAGTTCAGAGATTAAACTCTAGGGCTCCAAAGTCGGATTGCTAGTGTTATCATTCCATTGACCTTAGGGACAATAATTGTCCTATTTGAACATGAGTCTCCTCATTTGGTAAAGGGACAGTAGAGGTTCCCTTATCTGACTGTTGGAAGAATCAGATAAGAAAACCCACAAAAGCACTCAACATAATGATTGAAATGGTGTGAAGCAATGCTGTGCAACAGAAATTACATTGGACTTACGCATGTAATTCGACATTTTCTGGTGGCCACATTTTAAAAGGGGGAAACAGGTGAAATTTATTTTAATAGTGTATTTTACTTAATCCATTGAACCTAAAATATGATAGTAAAGTTCAATATGCTATCAATATAAAAATGTCAATGAGCAATTTTACATTTTTATAGTATTATCTTTTAAGACAACTTCATTGAGGTATAATTGATTTGCCAAACTCTGTACATGCTTAATGTACGCATTTTGATGAGTATGGACGTGTGTGTGTGTGTGTGTGTGTGTGTGTGTGTGTACCATCACCATGATGAAAGGAATGAATACACGTATCACCTCCAAAATTCCCTGTGTCCCTTTGATGTATATAGTAACAACATTTAATGAGATACACCACCTTAATTTTTTTTTGTTTTTGCTGTGTAGATCAAGGTCTTACTATGTAGCCCAGGATAGCCTCAAACTCACTATTTTCCTGTCTCTACCTCCCAAATGCTGGTATTACAAGTGTGTACACACAAATTACAAGTATGTAGTACCTCCTTATCAAAACTTGAAGTGCACAATACTGTGTTATTTACTATAGGCACTAGTATACCACAGACCTCTAGAATGTATTCATTGTGTATGACTGAACAGCAGCTCCCCACTTCCCTAAGTCTTCAAAAGATCCGTGTGTATTTGACACACACAGCTCACCTTGGTCCCACTACCTGTGTCTCAAGTCCTCACAGCCACACGAATAGTCAGGAGAATATGATTGAGATACATTATATGCACGTGTGAAAAGGTTATGGTGAAACCCACTTAAAAATTTGCAAGAAATATTTGCAAAAGGGAGTAGGGGATGCATGGGGATAAGAAAGAGCAATAGAGGGGGTGTTCATGATATATACTTACATACATAGATGTATATATTAATGTATGTAAATATCTTAAAGAAACCCCCCACATCATACTAGCAATCAGACTGCTTACCAACCATAATTAGTATGTGCTAATAAGAATGTGAAAACAATGCAAGTAGAAGAGCTCACTACAGATTACCATTGGCCTTGTCAGACTGTGATGGCTCATTGATGGTGCAATTGAAATGTCAGCTGTTACTGATGATGGAGTACTGGAGACAGCATCAACTAACATGGTGATAAAATGAAATGGACCACAATGGTGACCACTGCTCCCTGCAACTAGGAAGAGACAGGCCCTCTCCATGTGACTCACCACTTTGTGAAAATATGGCCATCTTACCAGTTGGACACTTTACAGACATTATGCAGATACTATACTTTATATCTTGAAATGATATCAGGTGATCCTTTAAAATTTCCTCTTTCTCTAACACACACACACACACACCTCTTTACATTTGTGGAAGCATACTGTGAAATGAGAAGCTTGAGCTGCCATGCTCTTTGATAGTAAAGTTACAGGTAGTCAAACATAAAGTGAAGTTAGACAGCGTGAACTGCAAATCATCTCAGTCCTTTTTGTCTCAAATCACTTGATCTCAAATGAAACATTATATGTATCTGTTGATGGTGGCAGAACCACTGGCTACCACAGTGCACAACTTAGGAACCACAATAACTTTGGTAATGGTGGTGGTGGGATCTTACCTGATGAAGTTGACCGTGTAGCAGTTACAGGAGACAGTTGAGTTGAGATGGCAACAGGTAGAACTGGAATAAAGAAACACGTGTTACTAGTAAGTAACTTTTCACAATCACTCAAGGGTTGCATGGCCATCCAGGGGCTCCTCATGATTCTGCAAGATATAGTTTTGCCTCAATTCCAAAGTGATCACCACATAAGTGATAGAAATGCTAACCTACTTCTTAGCTCCCAATCATCAATCCTGCTGAACTCAATATTCTCTGTCCTGGCTCTGCCAGACTGAAAGTCCAAGTGGCAGGTGTTCGGTGTCTTGTGGTGAGAATTATACAATTAGCCTGATGACCTGGATTTTCAGCATCTCCTATTGCTTTTATTCACTTGTTAAGCTTACTTTACTCCTAAGCTTGTTTTTACCACTGACCATTGTTTGTAGGTATTGCACTGTTTGTAGATCAACACTTTTTGCAGGTGTTCCATGTTCTCTCCTACCAACTAGATTGACTCCATGCCATATCTGGCCTTGGGAATTACTTGCAGTACCTACAAGGAACCTTGACAGAGGACACTACAGCAGATGAAGCATCATTGTTCATCTTCTGGTACTGAGTCAGGAACATTCTACCTCTCTTCCATCTCACCTTTCTTCTTTCTCTTTGCTGCTTGGGCCACCATATTTCAGTGTGTATCCTGGATGATGTGTCCATTTCTAGGCCACTGAACAGTATCAACTACAGAACTGTATTTCACGCAAGAATGTAGTAGGCAGAATATTGCCTCCTCCCCCAAAGACACCCACATCTTAATCCCTAGAAAGTGTGAATATGTTAGACTATAAGATAAAGGGGGAATTAAGGCCACAGATGGAAGTAAGGCTGCTAATCAGCTGCCTTAAAATAGGGAGATTATCCTAGATTATCCAGGTGGCCCAGGGTCCTTAAGATTGGAAGTGGGAGATAGAAGAGTCAGAGATTACAAAATGCCCAGCCGATGGCTTTGAAGATAGAGGACTGGGGCCAAGAGCCAATAGACGCAAATTGCCTCTAAACACTGGAAAGACAGGAAATGGATTCCTCTTTCCCAGAGCTTCCAGAATGAACACAGCCTGGCTAACACCTTGGTTTTTGCTGAGTGAAACCCATTTTGGACTTCTCCTTCAGAATTACAAGGCAACAAATCTGGGTTGTTTAAACATCAAGTTTATGGCAATTTGTTATAGCAACAATTGTATGAGTTCATATAATAAGTAAACATTACATGTGAGCAAATGATTCTTTTCCAAAGAAAATGTGAAACCTCATTCATCAAAATTGAGAGAATTTGGATACTTTCAGAGCAGCTGATCAGACTGAAGCTTCAAGACAATTACAAAACACTTATCTTCAAACTGGTTTCCAGTATTATGTTTTTTCAAAACAAAGGTATCGTTCTCTAGAGAGAGAATACCTCTCTGCCTCTCTCTCTTTCTCTCTTTCTTTCTCCGATGTTAGTAAATCTATTGTAGTGACACCCTAGAAATTATTGATGAGTCACCCAGTGAAATAACTCAGCACCCACTCTTTCGTCTACTTCTCTCCTGCATTTGGATGAACACACAGACCTGTTCAGGGGTAAACAGCACAGAAAGCCTCTCTTACCTGATAATATAGTTGCTGAATTTCCATCACCTGTTGGTACAAATTGAAACATTTCTTATTCAGTTGAATTGAATAACTTTTATTTGACCTACTTATTCATTTTCAGTAAGTCTTTAATCTGACAAGTCTGAAATACAAAATGGAAAATAAAGTAAAGCGCCTACACAGACCCTAAGGTGAAACTACATTATCTATTTCCAGGACTAGAAAAGATATCAGTGGTGGAAGATGAGGTGTTTCCTGATGATCAGAGACAGAGACAAGGATTAGGTTATGTGGGGTTTAAGAAGTTATGGTAACTGACTTGGAAATCACTCTAATACAATGGAAAACCTTTGGAAGGCTTTGAGCAGAGGGGATTGATCTGATTTACAGTTCACCTGCCCCTTCTAGTTTCTATGACAAAACCAGATTATGTGTGTGTTGGGGAGGATAAAGAAGTAGATGGCTGTTTAGAAAATTGTCATCATAGCAAGACAGATGAAAGATGATGGGCTTTGGGCGATGATAATTAGTAAGGTTGGGAGATGCAAGTGGGTTTTAGGACATATTTTGGAAGTGAGGACAGAGAATGTTCTGATTCATCAGTTGTGTGGAGTGAACAGGAAAGAGAACTATGAGATGGCTCTGATGAACAGGAGGAACAGATGCTATCTTTAGCATCAGTTGTCTGCAAAAGCCAAGCTAGGTACCATAATATCTAATAGACTGGTGGCTGCTCCCCTGGGTAGCTACATGATTTGAGATGAGCTCATTAACTTTTATGTGATTCCCTTTCATCATCAGTAAAATGGAGATTACAAGAGTACTTACCTCATAAGTTTCTTGCAAAAATGAAATAAGTAATACATGGAAAATGTTTAGAATTAATTAATTTACTTAGGTCTGGGGTCATGAAACTGAAGTCTGTTAATCAATTCTAGACCAGAACCTGTTTTTGTAAGAGAAATTTTATTGGGACATGGACACATCCATCAGTTTATTTTTTCATGCTATCCCAGCAGAGTTTGGTAAATGCCATGATACCATTTGGTCCATGAAACCTGAAGTATTTATTATGCAGCTCTTTGTGGTGGAGTTAGAGAGTTAAACAACTAGTAACTATGGAGGTAAAGTTCTTAGAACAGAACCTGGAAGATCATAAACTTCAATAAAAACTGTCTCTTTTCTTCATTCCATGTCTGTGGTCTCCCTGGACCCAGATGGAGCACTCTGGGTAGATGTTTTTATTCCTCTCCTTGTGAAGAATGTAATTAACTCGCTTGGGCCACACTTAAGTGGCAGAGTTGCACTCAAACTCATAGACTTCTTGTTGACAAACCCATTGCGTTGGGTTTGAACCCACTGAATCACTGGCTGAAGGATGTATCAGCTTTCTAATACATTCAGAAATCGATACAAATATGACAAAATATGTCATCTATTTTCTCAAATTTGACTTCACAATTATAAAAAAATTGGGGGAGTTTAAACCAAAAGGAAAATTTCCTCCAAATAAGGATTACTGGTGGACCTTCACGGAAATGCCTCCTACCTTGAGGTATTGGCAGTGATTCTTCAGCATTCTCTATAGAGAAGGGTTGAGAATTCGATGCTGTTAGAATGTAAAAGAGCTGATAGCGGTAAGGTCACATCCCTTCCCTGCCACCTTGAGTTCCATACAGTGCAAAAGAACATTTACTAAACAGTCATAAGAACTACAAAAACAATTTACCAAGCTTTTTCCTGAACATGGTGGTAGGAATTCTTTTAAAAGCAATTCCATTGAAAAATGAATACAGCAATACTAGAGAATAACTAAAATCCTCATGATTGAAATGAAAATTATGCCAATTATTTGGAAGGGAGAAACTGACACAACCGCATTTTCAACTTAATGGTAAGATTATCTTAATGGCCCAGGAATGCGAAAACGGCAAGTGGTGACCATTGAAAAATAGTCATAGGATTCCTCCTACCACTTATTCCCTCATTATCATCCCTCACAACCTGCCAGGCAGATGTTAGAATGGAAAGTGTCCTCCATCAAACAAAAGCATGAACTTACCTGATGTGGGCTTTGAGAAGTCAGCCTCTATTAACAAGTAAGAACAGATCTATTTAAGAAAAGTGTAGTTATTGCTAGAGATTCCTCAACTAAAAATGAATTTTAGAATGAAAAAATATAATTCTCAGGAGTAAAAATGTTGACTTTCTCCATGAGGTCAGGTGACTTCAATTAACCATAAATGATCATTGGCATAGTATATCTAATGACCAATGTCAGATCCAATTGTGGCTATTCAGTGTCCACTGGATTAATTCTGTAACACTCCCAAATGAGAGTTAAACACTCATTTCACCTGCGGAACAGTTCAGTGGAACTCAGTGGCTTTATATAGCTGACTGCTTTAATTGAATTCTATACCAATACCCCAACTAGATTTTAAAAAAATCAACAGGGGAGGGGATTAAATAAAAAAAAAAAACAGCATACACGCACATCAATAATGGAACTTCTTGAATGAATTTAAGAAACTAATTCATCATATTAGTATCTTGTAGGTCTTTCTGGTTGAACGCAACTGGAAATTTTGGCAAGGGACCAAGTTCATTGCTCTAGACACATTAAATGAGTTCCTTTCCCGACACTAGCACAAAAATGTGTATCTTCAGCATTGGTAGATGCTGAAAATTAGTCATCTGTATGGTGGAAATTTGTTTGTATCTCTATACCAGTAGCTCTTACTTGGGGACAATTTGCTGACATGTTGGAAGACATTTTGGGGTATTACAACTAGAGTGAGGATACTACTGTCATTTGGTGGGCAGAAGTCAGAATACTACAGAATAATCTACAATGCACAAGGCAGTCCACCCACCACAAAGAAAGACTTAGCCCCAAATGTCCAGAGTGTTGAGATGAGAAATCCTGGTCCACACTTATTGTGGTAATTACTATTTGGTCAAAGACTTGAGATTTGATCAATAGGACACCTAGAGCTGTTCTAATTTATAAACTCTTCCTTTCCTCACCTTTGTTAGACTACATACTTTTAGTGGGAAAAATCTTTTCCTCTTCCTTCACCACAGCATTCTGGAGTGATTGACCTCACTGGTGATACATGCTGTCTCTTCATGACACATTTTGAAATCTAGTTCTTGTAATGGAACCATCATGTTTTTCCACTATTTTTCTCTGTATAAAATCTATTTTAACATCTTGTGGCCAATAAATTTCTAAACCCACGTTGAAACTCTCAAATCACTAAAATCTCTTTCCTTTTCGCTCGTGCAAGTGGCAGACAAGGTCTACAATTACATATGTGACAGTGGGGTTGGTGGAGATACAATTTTAATAATGAGGTGTGCACCCTCAAAGGCCTTTACCTGCACAGATGACACTGGCATCTTCTCTGGGACCACAGTTATGCAGGTGCCAGCCAGCATGAGGACACTGCCCCAGAAAACTCTCACTTCCGGTACAGTCAATATCATCCAGCAGAAACTTGCCTTTGCCATCACCAAATTTTGCCTCAACTGGGGCTTCAAGAGCACGTCCACAGCCCAGCTGCCGGCACACCACCTGAGCTTCACGCAGGTCCCAGTGATCATCGCAAACCCTGCCCCACTGGCCATGGTAGAAAACTTCCACTCGCCCAGAGCATCTGCCTGACCCATTCATGACTTGCAACTGTGGCCAGTCTTAAAGATACAAAACTATCACATGTTAGAAGGAATAGCACTGGCGACACTGTGGTTAACAGAGCAGGCCTCATCCTAGTTGCTGCAGAAGTTAGAGTTTAGTTTGAGACTCTGGAGCAGTAGTCACATCAATCTAGAGTTAGGTAGAGATTTACAACTATGCCAAGTACCAAGAATCAAAGGGATTGGGGGCTTCTTAATGTTTTGAGAGTGCCTAATGGGAGCCAGGAGTTGGGGATGAGTTCCATAAGAAGGGAGAATGGAGCCAAGGCTTTGAGAGGAGTAGGAAGTAGTCAAGTGGACAAAGAAGGGAGGGAAGAAGGAGACCTTCCAAAGATCATTAAGTAAAACAAGGCAATCAAAACAAAACCCACAGTTTTATGAGCAAGGTGAATGCATAAGGGTCTTGGGGTGAAATCATGCTGTTTGATGGTATTTGTACTGTTAGAGATCCACCCACCAAGCCTTATCACAGGGAGTTTGAAAACCTCAACTCACCACCAGGAAATGGTGTTAAGATTTCATTGTCTAAAAGCAAAGAGAAATAAATAATAAGTCACTGCCTGTCCAAAAGTTCAGCCAAGTTTACCGGGTAAGCCTCCCCGTGTGTATGGAGCTTGCTTTGGGGGAATATATCCAGTAGATTCTGGTCAGTAGAAAGTGAGAGATTGTGTGTTCAGGCCGTTGAAAGTTGGGTACAGGTTTCTCTCTTAAACTGGATTGTCTGTGCCTTCTACAAGAAAGGTGAAAAGGTCAAGTGCTTATAGGAGAGTGCTCTCATGGCACTCGCAAAGGGACTTCAAGGAAGGACACTGGAGGCCTCAGATTAGTAAGTAAGCATAGGCAGCTCTCCATTAATCTCTGAATTTACTACATGGTGACAGAAAGGGACACAGTGTCCTGGGGCTACAGTCACTGCCCTCCCAGCCTCAGACACATTATTCAGGTATCTGAAGCTAGGATTTTCTTTAGTCAATCTGGGTTCAATTATATTTTTGAATGATAATTTTCTAATCTATATTCATATCCTCACTCTATAATTTTCTGAAATACATTTGGGCAAGAAGAACAAATTAGGTTGGGGAGGAAATATTTTCTGCATGGTTAAAGGCAGGGAAAGTACCTTTTCTTTTGCTTTCCTTTGTGTAGTCCTTTGTGTTAAATCCATTCTCGGTCTTCTGTCCCTTTCCCACCCCCTGCTCTGGTTATGTTGATAAATACAATCAGAGGATAAGGGTGTGTTGGTGGATGTTCTGTTAAAGACATACTTGGGTGACTCTTACCAAAAACTCCCGAAGTGTCATGCTCAGATTCTATGAGAAAGAAAAGGATGTGGAATGTGACTTGAGTCTCTTACAGATGAGACAATTCTATAATGCCTTGCAGTTGTTGAAAAGTTTGCTGCTATCCCACTGCTGACCCAGGGGAAAAGTTCAGCCTGGAATTAGTCTAATATAGGAGTATTCTGAAAAAACTAGAACTTTTCCTGGAAGGAAATCTCTTTCAACTGTGTTCAATATTTGCTGAAATGCAAACAAAGTAGCCTATACTCCATTTTGAGGAATAACTCATTTCTTTCAATGAGGGTTAGATTCCCAAGTTTCTCAAACAGAGATTGGGGCAGGGGACACCCACAAGCTCTTTAGGGGTATCTGGTTTCCCCATTGGAAGTTTTCCTCTCACTTGCTGGTTTCCCCAATGAGCATTCATTGACTTTCTGCCAATATCAGAGGGTCAGAACACTTAAGGAGACAGACCGAAGGAAGTGTGTGTTTTGATGATGAGGGAAGGTGGTTCTGAGGGCTCCAGGTTATAAAAACTGGGACTGATCAGCAGTTCCATACATCTGGGTGCTTGCGGGGGCTTAGAGTGTGTGACTGAAGTTTGTGAGAAGGGTGAAACTACTAGCAGAGCATCAAAACAATTCTGAATATTTGCAAATCTTGCTGAGGTTCAGGGCAAGTTTTCCGAAGTGTAGACATATTTGTGGGGAGACAGAACACTGGATATGGGGTATACAGATCGGATTATTTGCTGTGTAACTTTGGCCAAAGCACTTGACCTTGACTTAACTTTGACTCTGAACCTCAGATTCCATATTTGCAAAACAAGAAGCCTGAAACAATCCCACCTGAGTTGTTGTGAGGATGGAGTGGGATGATGGATGCAAAGTACTAAGCAAACTAGAAAGTACCAGGTGACCAGGTGGGATTGAGGCTTTGAGGCAGTCTCTTAGACAAACCCATTCAGAGATTTGATTCCCCTGACCTTGAAACAAATGGCATGCTGTGATTTCAATTGTAATTCAGTTAATCTGTCATAATAGCATGTAACAAGAAATTATATTACCACTCAAAAAAAGAGGCAAATGTAATCAACTTCAATCAGTAGAGGAGACAATCCAAGGAAATTATTGGGGAAAAACTGGATTGAGACTAAAACTTGAGGAAGGAGCCATAGACAACTTAGCTTTTACTATTAAAGGGATTATTATCGATTATCAATTTATTAGCTAATAAGAAGTCATTAAGCACATTAGAATACATCTAACTGTCTATTCTTGATTCTAAAGCAGCGTTTCTCACCCTCAGCACTATTGACACTTGGGGCTGGAGCATTCTTTGTGGGACGCTGTCCAGATCATTATAGGATGCTTAGTAGCATCCCTGGCCTCTACCCACAGATGCTAGTAGCAACCGCGTTGTGACAACCAAAAATGTCTCCATACATTGCCAAATGTTTCCTAGAGGACAAAATTGCCATGCAAAAAATATACTTTGAAGTGCTTTTAAATTCCCTGAATTGGGATTTATATTTAGAATAATTTGCTAACTGGACTACTCTCAGCTCCTCCCTCCTTGTTTTCCTCCTTCCTAGGTCTCCTGGCCCAGGTACATGCTGCCTTAGAAAAGACAGAATCTTCTTTCCACCCACTCAGGTCCCCTTTGCCAGATAAGGCAAAGTTGAATTCTGCTCTGTGCTACCCTGGCTGAGGACTCATAAGAAGGGATTTGGGATGTGTCAAGGAGGCTGGAGGGACTGGGGCTGCCAGCAGGCTTGTGAGATGTCTTGCAGATGGTGGTTTCACAGACAAGAGCTCTCTTCCATCCCCTAAACCTGCTCCCAAGACAGTACTGCTTACTGTGGGAGTCCTAGCCAGGGCAAGGTTCATGTCCTCACAGTCACCAAGAGAGGGATCTTCTGCTTTCTGACTGAAAATGGCACATGCAGGAGTTTGTAAGACAAGCCTATGGAGCAGGGACATTGCTTACTGCTGGGTCTCCAAACTTTCCACAACAAAAATTGTTGGCTCTTGGCCACTGAAGGATACTTTCTACCATGTAGGATTTGGAGGAGTGAGCAGAGGAGTCAGGGAGAAATGACCTCCAACTCAATCAGAGTTGGCAGATGAGGAGCAAGGAGGGACTTCCTCCTTCTTGTCTTCCTCCTGACCATATGTCTTGCTCCATCACCCAAAGTTGTTTTATCAGAATCCCAGCTACTCTGTCTCTAGGAGACTGATTCTCCAAAAGGAAAAAAGCTTGGCACAGCGCCACTGGCAGCCTGTTAGGTTTCACAGAATATGGAAAGACAGGTTAGCGGAATAGCGTGAGTGGTGGTTGTTCTCAAGCAGTACTATGAAAGATAATATGATTACTGTTAGGACAAGCACTCTCATTTGCTTAGAAAAGGGTTAAATGATGTGCAAAAAGCCACATTAAGCCCAAGGGATGGTGTGGGAGAGGATTGTAGAGAGAGACCCCATGGAAGCGAGTTTCACTGCAATTGCACAGGGCCCACGATCAGAAGGGGTTCACTGGCTGTCATTCTTTTGATGCTCTGCTTGTCACTTCATAGTTCTTCAAAGAGGAGACCTGCATTTTTGTTTTGCACAGGGATGCACAGGTTGTGTAGTGTCTTCTACCACTGGACTGGATATTTTCATTTCAAATTTAGAATTCTTTCCAACGTGGGTACTGTTGGGTCTTCAAGTAGACACAAGAGGACTTGGGTAATATGGGGTATCCAGCTGCATCCTAAGCCCTACAGAGGAGACGTGCCACATGAGTATCTTTTTTGGGAAGGTGGCTGAGGCTCTGAGCAGACAAGGCTTTTGTACCAGTCAAATGATACATTACAAGCTATCCTCTTGTGTCAAGTCACAGGGAATGATTGGATAAAGTGAAAAATCAACTCAGAAAGATGTAAAGCAATTTACCCGAGCAGATGACACTACTGTCTTCCCTGTGCCCACAGTTGTGGATGAACCAGCCGGCATGGGAGCACTGTCCCAGGGAAGTCTCGGTCCCAGAACACTGCACATCATCCAGAAGAATGGGCCCAGAGCCCTGGCCAAAGTAGGCGTCTCCAGGGGCAGAGACAGCTGTCCCACAGCCCAGCTGCTGGCACACGACCTGCGCTTCTTTCTCGTCCCATAGGTCATCACACACCGTGCCCCACACACCTTCAAAATACACTTCAACTCGGCCAGAACACCTGCCAGAACCTTCCACGAGCTGCACAGGAAGCCAGTCTTTGGGAGAAAGGCAGCCCCACCCCCATTTGAGTGTTAGTGAGCAGAGTCATCTTCCCCACCACCTCCCCCATCATCCTGAACGCCATCTGTGATCCTAGCACTGGGTTAAACTCTTTATAATGACATCTTTTTAAGGCTCACAATTACCTTGTAGGGTATTATGGCTCCCATTTTACCAGGGAGGAAACAGGATGACAACAGCAGCAGCTTTCTGGATTTTACACTGTTAGTTTGTGAGGGAGAAGAAACAAAACCCCATCATATCTCTATAGAGTCCCTCTGTTTTGGGTGGGATTATCCAAGGGCCAATTTAGGTCATCCTGTAGTGAGACATCGCAGGAACTTTGCTTTGTTCTTTTCAGAGGCACTGGGTCCTCCCACCTACTCTGGCAAGAATATTGACATCTAAGAAGACAGAAACTTTCCAATCTGCGTGTCTTGATATTGTAGCCTAAGAACTCTCCCCTGGATTCTCGGATAACTCACTGTGTCACTGTTGGTGTTGAGTCAAGGGCATTGGAAATACAAGTGCCCAGCAAAGGCTCACTGTGTGTTAGTCCCAAAGATGCTGTTAACCTCTTTTGTCACCTGGTGACTACATTTCACCTCTCCCCAGTACTTTGCTGGCCAGTATCTTACTGGTTCTTCCCATGATCTCAGGGGTCAGCAAACCTTACTAGGATAGAGGGTAATGAGGCACCTAAGGTGTGGCTGGAGCAGGGGCCACAGCCACTGAGGTTGAGTTTGCTTCTCAGCTTGGCTGCTTGCTAGCTGTGGGGGTTGTATGGGCTGCTGAAGCTCTCTTTTCTCCCCTGTAAATGAAAGCAGAACCTACCTGAAAGCAGATTCTGAAGCAAATACAGGTAAAGTGCCTGTCGCAGAGGCAGCACGCAGGAGGTGGCAATTCTTATTATATCCATCTTAATTAGACAGATGAAGGGACAGTTATAGATTCCTAAGACTGCTGAGAGAGAGCTATGAATGGGCTAGGCCCCTGTCTTCTCTCTTCCTCCTGGTAGCCAGAGGGCCTTCAAAGTGTGGCTCTCAAAAGCCTCTGTTCGCATCTCTGGGGAGGCTTGCTAAGTGTGCATATTCTTGAGGTACACAGCATAAGAGAATGGGGCCTAAGATGTTTGCATATTCAATAAGCTCTTGGGCTGATTACCATACACTCCAACATTTAAAAACATTTGAAATCGAGACTTTTAAGCCATTGTTTAATGTATAAGAACTGTGAAGACAGAGAAAGAGCTCTGTCTTATCAACCAGAAGTTAACCTGGAGGGTCTTTATTTCTGGAGATGACTGACTCACCTGCTGAGTTCACACTGTCCATCTGCAGGGCCTTCATGTCCTTCACCATAGTGGTACTGCCTGCTCCAGCCCCCTCCTCCTGCAGGCCAAAGGCATTGTCTGACTGGGACTCACCTTCTTGCTGCTCCACAGATGTGGCTTGGATGGAGCTTCTCTTAGGACGTCCCTTCCCCAGCCTTCCTCTAGATCCTCTGATGTCTCTCCTGTAGCAAACTGAGATTCGTCAGCCATGTTAGAGCCCAGCAGGGACACTGAGCATAGCCTGGCCCCTGACAGCAGCTTCTTGGGCTCAGCTCCAAACCCACCAATTTGCAGGTGCATCAGCTGGTGCCCGGGAATTTGAATTTTTAATAATTCACAGCAGGGATGCCAACAGGAATCTATTGTGGAGTCAAGTGTGAGGACCCGTGTTCTGCATTCGCTTTTCTTTAAGCTCTTGCCTTGGGGCATATGTGGTCTTACAACTCTCCCTTTTCATCAGAAGGTGTTTGTACAAGTTATCTCAACTTTTTCCCAGCCACCACATTTCATTACAAATCTCCAGCTATCTATAGTTAATCTTGAAGCATATTTGTCATTATTTAAAAATAAGAAATATCCTCCACAGCAGCCTCTTTGATGGATTTTGCACTGTGAGTCCATCTGCACTTCATTTTACATCTGTTTCAGCCATTGCATGGTGACGCCCTGCTCTCTAGACAACTAGGAACATAGGCCCATGATGCTGTTGGGCCTGGATGGATTTACAATAACCCATTTTGCCTTCGGGTCTCTGGTGAGGAGGGCCTCATACACCCTGCCACTGGACACACCCTTGGAAGTATCAAAGGCATTCAGAGCCTGGTTCTTTGTGCCCACTCCACCAGACTAAGCCGTACACATTCAGTGGCCAGAGGTGTGGTCTGGGCTGCAAGACAGAGGAGAGGTCTCTTAGTGGAGGAGGGGGGAACTTGTGAAGTCAATGAAGTTGGTGCTGTTAAACCTTATCAATGCCACAGTGTGCCAATAAGGAGCCAAAGTACTTTCTACTTCATATTGCTTTAACAGAAAAAAAAAAAAAAGCCAAGAAATGCTCCCAGACCACACAGTCTTGTTTCTTATTACAAACAAGATTTGGATCCATTTAGCCTCTGAACCACCTGGTCTCCCTAGCCTGTGCCCCTCCTTACATTCCCTGCACTATGGCTTCTTCACTTTGACTTCTTTCCCTTCCACACTTCTCATATGCCGTCACCATGTCAGATCAGTTCTTCCATTTACACTTTATCCACTCTTATTTTACACTGATGTGCTTGAGACAGGGTCTCCCTGTGTAACCCAGACTGGCCTTGACCTTGTGATCTTCTTGCCTCAGCTTCCCAAGTGCTGGGATTACAGATACGTGCCATTTCACCTGGCACCCATTCTTTTTCATGAATAATATTAAATCCTATGTGTACATAGAACCTCATGTTTTTTGGAGAACTTTCATAACCATCATCTCATTTGATTATCAGAGGAACCCTGTGATGTGTGCTGGTCAAGTCCAGCAAGGTGACCTGGTTGGTCACTAAAAATTACAGAATCTCTACTGCTGCCTTCCAAATCTACCCTGTCCACCTTGATTTAGGGTGTGTGTGTATGTGTGTGTGTGCATTACCATTATCATGCTTCTTCAGTTTCCTGATTCAATCTTTTTCCTACTCTAGTCCATGTCACCTGCCTTCTTATCTGTAAAAGCCACTTTAATGTCACTTCGGTGCCTATCGTTGTTACTCATCATCTACTGAGTAAAGATCAGCGTTCTTAGTCTGAATTTCAAAATCATCTGTATTCTGACCACTGCTTCCTTTCCAGCTCTTCTCTCATTGGTAGACTATTCTCCCTCCTCCAAGGAAACCTTGTCCTGCCCACTTCTAGAACTTTTCTTTGGCTATTAAAGTTCCTTGGAATGTCACAGCCCCTTCTATGAATGTGGCATCCAGACATTCAGATAAGACCGACTCCAAATCAGAAACCTATTTCCTGCTTTCTTTATCTGAGAGCATGGCCTTCCAAAATCTTGATGTTCAGTTTATTTAAGTCTGACAAACACCACTGAGCACTTAATGTACCAATTCCTGAAATCCAATGGCAAATAGAGTATCTCAATAACTCATGGGTACCACTGACTTTCTTCATGTTTTCTCTCTCCAACCAGACTGGAGGGTCCGAAGTTGAATGGCCTGTTCTCCCACCACAGAGCCTGGAATGTACCAGACGTTCACTAAATGACTAGCAAATCAATTAATGGAGTGAGATGTGGCTAGGCCTTAACCACTTGGACATTTACTCTGAGATAAGGCACAGTCTAGGGTGAGGTAGTGTAAGGTGGCACATAGTGGTTGGATTCTGGTACAGCCAATAAGATGACCTGTTGATAGAATGTGGGATACAAGAGAAAGCACAGAGTTAAGGACAACTGGAGGATTTTGTCCTGAGCAAGTATATGGGTGGAGCCATTATCACCATCTGGATCATGAGTCTGAGTGCAGTCCACAATTATAATTTTGTATCCTTCAAGAAACCCTGCAAATTAGTCTTCTCACTGTCCACATTTTATCTGTGGGGAAATTGAGACTGTAGACAGTTAACTGACTTACTGTGGTCAACATAGCTTCTTTTTTTAAAAATTATTTTATTATTCATATGTGCATACAAGGCTTGGGTCATTTCTCTCCCCTGCCCCCATCTCCTCCCTTACCACCCTCTCCGTCCCCTCCCTCTCCCCCTCACCCCCTCAATACCCAGCAGAAACTATTTTGCCCTTATCTCTAATTTTGTTGAAGAGAGAGTATAAGCAATAATAGGAAAGAACAAGGGTTTTTGCTTGTTGAGATAAGGATAGCTATACAGGGAGTTGACTCGCATTGATTTCCTGTGCATGTGTGTTACCTTCTAGGTTAATTCTTTTTGATCTAACCTTTTCTCTAGTTCCTGGTCCCCTTTTCCTATTGGCCTCAGTTGCTTTTAAGGTATCTGCTTTAGTTTCTCTGCGTTAAGGGCAACAAATGTTAGCTAATTTTTTAGGTGTCTTACCTATCCTCACCCCTCCCTTGTGTGCTCTTGCTTTTATCATGTGCTCAAAGTCCAATCTCTTGTTGTGTTTGCCCTTGATCGAATGTCCGAATATGAGGGAGAACATACGATTTTTGGTCTTTTGGGCCAGGCTAAACTCACTCAGAATGATGATCTCCAATTCCACCCATTTACCAGCGAATGATAACATTTCGTTCTTCTTCATGGCTGCAAAAATTCCATTGTGTATAGATACCACATTTTCTTAATCCATTCGTCTGTGGTGGGGCATCTTGGCTGTTTCCATAACTTGGCTATTGTGAATAGTGCTGCAATAAACATGGGTGTGCAGGTGCCTCTGGAGTAACCTGTGTCACAGTCTTTTGGGTGTATCCCCAAGAGTGGTATTGCTGGATCAAATGGTAGATCAATGTTTAACTTTTTAAGTAGCCTCCAAATTTTTTTCCAGAGTGGTTGTACTAGTTTACATTCCCACCAACAGTGTAAGAAGGTTCCTTTTTCCCCGCATCTTCGCCAACACCTGCTGTTGGTGGTGTTGCTGATGATGGCTATTCTAACAGGGGTGAGGTGGAATCTCAACATAGCTTCTTAACAGTGGAGCTGGTGCTAA